GGGGGGGGGGGGGGGGGGGGGGGGGGGGGGGGGGGGGGGGGGGGGGGGAGGGGTCCAGAAAAAAGAGACAAAACGGCGTTCGAGTTTGAAAAAACAAAGTTGAAAAAAAAATTGCGTGCATGTTCAATTGAGCGGAGCAGAGAGCGAGAGAGAGTGGCATAGGAGAAGGTGAGGGGGAAGGGGAGCGGAAGAGCCAGAGGAACATCCGTGCTTTCCGACATGGAGGAGGATACGGAGGAAAGAATGGAAGGGGGCGAGGAAGAGCCAGAGGGACATTCGTGCTCTCCAATTGGTGGACGGGATTGTCGCTGGATATCGGGTGGTAGTGTGCGGGAGGCTCCAGGTGGCAAGAATTCCAGTAAAGCCCCCACCTCCAACTGCTTTCATGTTCCGTTCTGCCCGGCAACTGCTGTATCGCTCAGCCGCGCAACAGCGCCGACCGGGCAGGCGTAAAGCCCGAACAAAACTCATCAGTGTTTGGACTGCGGGGGTGCTGAGCCCTCACGCATGTCATCCTGAGCATTTGTGACAACTAAACAAGACATTGAGTGCATTGCAAACCTATCCGGACTCGTTGTCTGTGGAAGAGAAGAAGAATCGTTGTGTGCTAGAAAGGAAAAACAAAGCAAAATGAGAGATAAAAATTCAAACACGAGGAAACAAGGGTTCTCTGACTGCTGTGCCATGCGCCGCACCTCCTGCCGGGACGAACTATCTGGTTATTGTTCACTACCATGGTATGTACCGAATCAGGGCCCCGGTACCTGGTGGCTCTTGCTGCAGCTGTACCCAAATCTACCATTGTAGAGATATGGGTAGCCGCCAACGTGCTTCAATGGTGGGATGGTCACGTCACTAGGGGTAGGGCAGCGCGCTGCGGGGGCTGGTCTGGCCATTGTGCGTGCTATGCTTTATGCGGAAGTAGTCGCGGTGGCGGTTCGGACGCTGCTTAGCTTCGACCGTTCTTGCCCATATATATCTAAGATGGGATGTACAGTCGCGGAAGCATCTACCAACCCCATCGCGGTAGGAACAACGCTCTCCTACACTCTCCTACACTTGTAGTGCGACTTTTCCGCGGACATCAAGCGCGCGATGATGCTCGTGGACAAAGAAAAGCAGCTCCCGATACGCCAAAACATGTGTGTAGAAACAAACGCTGGCGGTGGCTGCAATGGTTGAAATTGTCTTGTACACTTGAGTCAAGTCCCTCTGACGTGCTCCTCGTCGGATTGTAGGTCGCCATTGTCGCCATTTGTGATGCATATTGTACATACCGACTTCCCGTACTACGACGTGCGGCGCAGTGTTGCGTGATTTCCCGAAAAACTATACTGCGACAGCAATAGTTCGAACCGGGTAGAGAGTGTGTCAGTGATTGTACATTTGTATGTGTATTTCCAAGCGTTGATGCGAGCGTGAGGGCTTGGGTGTACAAACATTTTTCACACCCTGTACAACTACAAACTTCCGTAGTTGGACGGAATCGACTCGTTGCACAAAATTCTGAGCCGGAAGTTGATCTGGAATCAAACTACCGTAATCATCGGGGTCTTGGCACACTGTGAGGTCGCTCTTTTAAAATGTTTCGAACTTCAGACTTTTTTCGCACAGGTGTGCGAAGACCCCGATATGTGCCAAGTTCGCGATACCTGTGCGGAAATGCAGTAAATATTTTGGTTCTAAGAAACAACGCACACCCCTGTGCCAAGACCCCGATATATATATATATATATATATTTTTTTTTTTTTCTCCAATCATTGGACTCTGTCGTCTGCCCCTCTGGCCCCTATCCTCCACTTCTACTAGCTAGACGACCCAACCGGGGTCACATAGGACGGGGGGACTGGACCCCCTCCTGCGGTATGTGCGGTACTGTTCAAATCCAAAGCGGCTGGTAAGGCGACTTTCGAACGCACACCCCTGTGCTAAGACCCCGATATGTGCGATCCTAACATTGAAAACCACAGGGGATAGCAGCACTTCGCGTGTATGGTATTGCTGCAACACGATCACAACACAACCAACAGACAAGCTATTATAGTAGCTGCACACACAAACGAGTCTCGGGGAATTGCCACCACAGCCGTTCCGTGGCGGAGAAGTACCGGCGGAAATCGGGAAAATGCCCGGGACGGAGCTGCGGGCTCGACCACACGCAACGCGCGGCTACGATGTCGGAGGGTGCAAGCGCGAGACCTGCCGACGCCTCACAGGCCTCACAGGCCTCACAGGCCTCACAGGCCTCACAGGCTAGTGCTGGCGGTCCTTCCTCTGCGGATCAGGGAGCTGCCGCTGCGGACCCGAAGGCAACCGGCGAGGCTATCGATGAGATGCTAGCCGCCAACGACCCCGTCAAAAACAGCAACGGCAAACGCGCGTACCCGGAGCCCAACTTCCAGATCGAGCGGTCAGGAGCAGTGGGAGGGAAAGGGAGCTACCCCATCCGGTTCAAACTGAACGCGGCGGCCTACACACGGGAGATCTGCCCGTGCGACGGTCAACCGGTGGGAAACAACGGGGCGGCGATTGTTCTCCAGGTGCCTCGGAAGCGTATCATCGAGTGGCTGAAGCAGGAGGAGCAGCTCAGGGAGAAGGTCAGCGCCAACCCCAAGCTTTCGAAGGCCAAGCAGGTTCACAGCGGAGGGAAAGCTTCGACAGTCGACGCCGAACAAGCCCTTGTGGACTACATCAACGAGCAGCGTAAGCAGCACCGAGGTTGTGGTAATCGGGAGGTGATGAACAAGATGCTCGAGCTGAAGCCTGACGCCCTTGGCGGGATGCCGGAGAACGCGAAACCGGAGGAGGCGCTGCCTTTCAAGGTCAAATTCAAGTCCTGGTACCAACGGTTCCGCAAGCGGAATGGGTTCAGCATCCGCCTGCGTACCAGCGTGGGCCAGAAACTGCCGAAGGGGTACGAGGGTATGGCGTGGGCGACGGTGATGAAGCTGCGCGAGGCTCTCGTAAAGCGCGCCGGTGAGATCTACGCTCGGCGCCACCCGCCGGCACCTGACGAGAGCCCCATCAAAGGGGAGGATCTGACTTCCGAGCAGCTGGCGTCTGTGGAGGCGGAGGTTTCCGAGGAACTCGGCAACATAGACCAGACGCCAGTCCAGAACGAGATGCCGGTGGAGACCACTCTGGTGAAGACCGGTGCGAAGGATGCTCGCATTAGCACAGGAGGTGAGGGCGAGCTAATATTTTTGTCAAAATTTTGTGTGGTGTGCGGATTTTTTGTCGTTGGAAAATTTTTCATGACACATGTTTTTTTGCGTGCCGGTACACGGTGCGATGTAGCTCTANGAAGGATGCTCGCATCAGCACAGGAGGTGAGGGCGAGCTAATATTTTTGTCAAAATTTTGTGTGGTGTGCGGATTTTTTGTCGTTGGAAAATTTTTCATGACACATGTTTTTTTGCGTGCCGGTACACGGTGCGATGTAGCTCTATCGGTAGACACAGGAGGGTTGCTACCTTCTTCTGCGGGATTATTCTACACTTCCTTTTTCATTGCATCCATTGCATCAACCACACACCGCTGTCCTCGTAGAAATATTCAACACTCTACTCCCCCCCCCCCCCCCCCCCCCCCCCCCCCCCCCCCCCCCCCCCCCCCCC